CTGGGACCTGTGGAACCCTGCGCAGCCCACTCATAACTGGACACCTTTTGCTTCCTCGGAAAGGTAACACTGACTTTTCCCTGCGTCTTCCTGGAGAAGATTTCTCTCTTGGGACTGCGTTTTGGCCCCGTAGCCTAGAGGCTGGGGCAGGGAACATATCTCCCAACAATAGCACTGCCTGTGACCTGGGGTGGGTTTGCACTTGGGAAGTGATGCCTGCAGAATTGGGTGTCCAATTTTAGATGTTAGAAGAGGACACCCTTGAGATGTGGAAATTTCTGATTCATCATCACAGACTCCCTGTGTCAGAAGAGGCTCTCTACAGGTTTTTCAGTTGGGAAAAAGTTCATGATTTCCCCTTGAATGTGGAATCCACCCTGGATCCGCGGGCCTGGGACTCACTGGGTCTCTATCTTTTGGGGAAACTCAGGCGAGGTACGAGAATACCTCTGTTATGAACAAAAACCTGCCTTTTTTTTTTTTAAGAAAAAAATTACAAAAACTAGGCAGACCACTGTTGGTGCTGAAGTGTTACCTGTTTGTTATGATAATTACAAGTCGTTGTCGTTAAATGGATCTTTTTTGTATCGGTGAGGGCCCTGGCCGGGGCTGGGTTGATGGCTCTTCTCCCGAGACAGTGAAGGGCGTGGACCTCCCCAGACAGTGAGGAGAAAAGACTAAACGTGGGAGGGAGACATGCAAAATAACTTCAGGACCACCATGCCATGAGAGGCTACTACTCCAAACTTACTGAAAAGACCCCCAAAACAACGAGCCAATATAGAGTTAGGAAATTAGAATGATGTCTAGACGTGAGGAGTGGAGTGCTGAGCCTGCAGAGATGCTGAAAACCTTCGTTGCCCCTCACCCTGAGTGGGAGAGTCCTCTCAGACCGGGACCCGGAGAGGACGGAAGCTGAGAATTCAACATCTGGGTCACCACGCCGAAACCAGCTCCCACAAGGACTGGACCCCAGCTCTGCCCCTAGTGGACAAAGCTGCGCATATCCTCCTCCTGCAAGTCACCCTGGGAGAGACGACGGAGACTACAGACCCGTCGAGCTGCCCAGTCTTGAGCTGATCACTTTTAAATAAAGGCATTAAAAGGAGAAAAAAATCTCCTGCCCAATTTCACCTCGACTACTACCGATCTGGTCAGTGCTCTCCAGAGTAGTATGGGGCCGGACCCCTTTGGAAAGTGATTCCACCTTGGTGGGCATGTCCGACTTGGACATGGAGGAGAGCCTGGCCCCGAGTGGGTTGCCATCAGCCTCTCCGCCACGGCCAGCTGGGGACCGATCCTTTCACAGACAGCTGACGCTGGCTCCTTTCTGGCATTGCCCACAGAGCACTCAGAGCAGCTCTCTCCTGTCTTCCCGGGGCATGGGCAGGAAGGACTGAAGCCTTCAGCGGCTCCACTTTCTTGGTCAGCAATTCTCCAACCGGAGCCGTGATCACTTCTGCCTCTTTGCCTTCGCCAGTGCAAGGGGGACCATCGCCTCCTCCTCCTCCCCCCCGTGCAGCTTTGGATCAGCCCTGCTTCTGGGTTCCCCCCCGCCCCCCCCCCCCGCGCCGCAGGAGGGGGAGGAGTCGTCCCTGCTGCCGACAAGGGAAGCAGCCGGTTCCGCGACAGCAGCCGGCAGCCCCACGCTGGAGAGCACATCCAGCCCTCCTGCGCCGCAGCCTGAAGCTGATTCATCAGTAGCGGCGCCGGCAGCACCGGCCAGGGATGTCTCCCCGCCGGCTCCGCCACCTCCAGCCGGCCCAGCTCCCATCCGGGATGCGAGCTATGGCACTGAAGATCTTCAGCCTGCCTGACCACCCCCCCTGCCCCGCCCCCTGCTGTTTCCCTTGGGTTTCCCGGGAACACGGACAGCACTGAGCATCAATAGCCTGTCCGTCAGCAGGGGCATGCCCTCGCAGCAGGGCGCTGGCCCGACTGTGCTGTGAAATCTGAAGATCAACATTCCTCTGGGGGAAAAGCCTTCCCTGACGTGCCTTGGGGCACTCTGTGCATCCCGCTCTCGTTCGCAGGGCGGTAGAAGCGGGGTCCCAAGAGGCTATGGCTTGGTCTATGCCTGGGAGGGGCGGGGAAAGGACGGAATGCCAGAGTAATGCCGAGACATTGGCAGCGTGGTGGGGGCGGGCAGTGAAGGAGAAGGCGGAAGTGAATCGCCCATCTGGGGATGGGCACGGGCTGTCCCAGTGTCGTGGTTTGAGACATTGACAGGAAGTAGGTTTTTTTTTTGGATATGATGTGGCCACCAATAGGCGTTCAGATTTTAAAATTGGCACCTGGTTAGCCACTGAATTTCAGACACGCCTCTGAGAACAAACAGGAGTTAAAAGCAGACCTGCTCCCCCGGGAAGCTCTCTTGGGACTTCAGCGGGAAAGAGGTCGGATCTCCCTCCCCCGTCCAGCTGCTGCTCCTGGGCGGGGGAGGGGCAGCCATGCGGTAGGCCTGGGCCTGGACAGAGATGGGAGGTGAAGAGGCCCTTGAGGATGGCAGGGTGGAGGAGCACCAAGACACATCTGGCAGCCAGCCCCCCATTCCCCCAGGGGAGAGAGAGAGGGAGAGCCGGCGTCTGAATTTGATAGCGGCCGGCCCAGGAGGAGAAGGGGGGGGTGCGGCGAGAAGGTGCCCGGCAGGGCAGCGTGGGAGTTCCAGAGCTCCGGAGAGGCAGAGACTGAGATATTTAACCCTTTTCTTGCATGATAGAAACCTTTCAAATGCTGATCCTCCTGGAGCTGAATGAGAAGAGAGATAAGAGATGAGATAAGAAGGGATGGGCCATAAGGGAAGTGCAGAAGACTCTTGAGTAGGGGGAGAGATGATGGAGTGGCCTTTTGGCTGGACTTTTCTTGTGTGGCCATAGACTGAACCATTTTTTTTCCTGTGACACAGAGACTGCATTTAGGGGGAGGCAGTGCCTCAGAACCAGGAGGGTTCAGTGTGGGTACCCCTCAGTCCCAGGGGGTGCAAAAAATTTGGGGGGGACAGACGTCCCGAAGGAGAGACTGTGCCTTTTATTGGAATGAGATAAGGCATCCTTGAAAGACAACCCTAGAAACAGCTCTGGTCCGTGCACAGTGGTGAGAGCACTGGGCATGGAAGGAAGGTGTCACGATGGCAAAGGATTTCCGGGCGGTGCTGAGTGACATGGAAACACACGAGGTTACAAAGGTGTTTCCAGGGGAAGTCTATGGTGCAAGAAGGACTCCTCTCCTCTTCATGAACTGAAGACTGAGTATTCTAAAGGGTGGTGCTGGACTGAGAGTTGGTGATTTGGGGGAATGTATTGCATTGGGAAATTTGGTGGGGGGGGAGGAGGAGGAAAATGCTTTTGTAAGGTTTTCTTTTTTGTTTTTTTCTTTTTCTTGTAGTTTAGTTAATAAAGTTTTCTTTATTTCTAAGCTGGAGTCTGCTTTGCTTATTCCTGGTCACATCTCACAGCAGACACCAGGGAGAGGGTATTCTCATGGGGGCACTGGCATTGTGCCAGTGTCAAACTGTGACACCCAGGCATCCCAGATCCAGGGACCCCAAATGATACCAGTGAAAAGCTGGGGTAAGGGTACGAGCCAAATTAATCTGGCCTCAGCAGCAGCGGTGTGGCCGTCCCAACGGCCAGGTCTGGGTTCCTTGGACCGCCCACCCCGGCCGGGTCCTATGGCCCGCCTCCGCTTCTGGCCTTCTGAAGAAGAAGAACAAAAGAAGGTGGAAAGAACTACCGTCTTCACTGACAGCTCAGTGTGCTGGAAGGCCACGAGTCAGCCTCAGACCAAGTGGTTGAATTAAAGGCTGTGGTCACGGCATTCCAGAGATTTTCTCAGTACCTCTGAATTTGATAGCAGTGTTACACAGAAAAGGTAATCCTGCAAACCATCCAATTAGAGCTTGGGCTGTGGCCAGCTCCTAACTCTACCTGGATGGGGATGATTGACAATCAACCCAGATGTTTTCTGCATCCAAAGGATTCAAGTAATTTTGGCTTGGCAATTTGACCACATATATATATGACAGCTAAGCCTACTTTCAAAGGGAGTTTGGAACATCATGATTCAGACATGATTTCCAACTCTGCTGAGTTGAGGTTTATCAGCTGTTGCAGACTCTGGAATGGCAGTCAGTGCTATAGTGACTGATAGTTGTGTAATGTCACATGTGTTCTTGATTATGTGCATTATCTGATTGATTTCTAATAGTTGTTAGTAACCGTCTTCAGCTGTTCTCTGTTTCAGGACCAAGAAGGACATTCAGGGATGTCAAAGATCAACATCTCCAACTAATGGACCTTCTCCTGAAACTCAGCTGTTTGGACTTTGAAACAATGATCATTCTTTGCATTGTTGTTTGGTTTTCTTATATTGTAAACCTTGTTTTAATGATATGATCGAAATAGATATTCTACAGGTAAAGAATCTCCCTGATCATTCGAAGTCAGCATCTGATTGAGGTTTTGATTGACAACCAGTAAATTGCTAAGGGAACCTCTTGAGCTGTGTTTGTTCCACTTTCTATAAAGGGCCCTACAGAGGACTACAAACACCCCCTTTTTTCTTTAAACACAAAAGGGTGAATTGTGGCCGCAGCTTTCTCCACAGAGATCAGCAGGCACAACTTTCCCAGGCATTGTGCTGAAAAAGGCTGTTAGAAAGCTCAGAGAAAAGAATGAGAAACAATTCTTATTTTCACTTGCTGCACCTGTTGTTGTGAACATGTGGAATATGTTATGTAGATTTCTTTACTAAAGGGTAATTTCTTAATTGGCCACTGGTGATGGAGTTTGGATTTCAATTGACCAATCTGGTCAAAGCTGTATCGGACTGTCTGCAATGGCAATGGGTTTTCTTAATGGCATGGTATGGTATGGTATGGTATGGTATGGTATGGTATGGTATAATAAAGAGATTGATCAGCCTTCTGGAATCATGGAGCGAGGTGTGGCCTTAAAGTCAGGTGTCCGGCTGGCAGAAGGGCGGCCAACACCCAACTGCAAATGTGTGAGCACCCCTCGGCGTCAGAAGGCTTCGGGCTGTGCTCACAGCAGACGGAATCACTGCTGGCCGACGAGAGTAAAGAGTCCGGACACTCACTGGGGACTTGTCAGATTTATTGTAGAACCCAACGTGCCAACCAGGGAGTGACAACCTGGCTGGTATCTAACAGGGGTCAGCCAGTGAGTGACCTCGAACAAAGGGTGCAACAGGGTTATAAAGGGGAGGAGGGATCTCAGGGAGGGGTTTACAAAGGACCAATAGGGGAAGGTAGGGGAGTGGACTTAACATAATAGGCACTGGGGAGAAACCAGTAGTTACATTATAAGGGAGGGGCCCCGGAGCCACAGCCAATCATAACTCCCAGGTAGAAGAAGATTCTGGAGACTTGGGAGGGGTGGGGAGTGATTGACTGGGCCCAGGGAGGAGAACAAATTCCCATATAAGGAAACACAGGGGAGGGGAAATCATATAACAGAGAGGATTGACATAAACTGTGGTGGGAGTAACCAAGGTAACCAAATGATAGACAATACAATGGCAGGAAGAACTGGTGAGGGCAGAACCATTACAGAAAATGGGGGAGTGATACAGAAAATGGGGGAGTAATTAAATAAACTAACAAAACACACTACAAAAGGAGTCAATGCCAATTATTACCCATTCAGGAGCTTGCTGCTACAATACTTTTTATTCTCTAAAATGTTTCATATGCATCAAGTTTTGGAATAGATCTGAGCATATTCATTTCCCTGCTCCACTGAGCCCCGCTTTGCCTTATAATTAGCTTAGCAGTCATTCTGTACTTGCGCAGTGCTCTCTGGTGGTCTTTCTGTGGTCACAAGAGGAAGGGCAAATGAGTGTTCATCAATGTGAACTCTTCACCTTTCTTTGGCTGCGCATGCCCTCTAGTCTCTTGGTTGCAGTTCAAACCACAAGGCTGGTTGAAGCCAGTTTAGGGTCCAAGGAGCTTCTCTTATCTTCAACAGCTCTGCAGGCCTTGCATTCCTTCCACCTTGTTTAGGGTAAGAAGCTCTCCTTATCAGGATATCCTTGCATTCCTTTTGTGAGAAACAACTGCTCACTTTTTAAAATTTTATTAAACTTTAGCAAAAAACGACAACAAAGGACTGAATAAGGAAAAATTACAGCACTGGGAGCCCCCTCCTCCTCCCGCCCCGTGACTACCAGTCCTGTGTCTCCTCTACAAAATGGATGCTCTGCCTTTTATATCCTTAGCCCCTCCAAAAGTTTTGTCAGTCAACTCTTTCTCTGCCGTCCGTTGGCGGAGATTACTTTTTACATCTTGATTGGAGGTCAGGTGTTGTTATGCTGTGCCTCCTGGTAACAAGCCAGCCTCCTCTAAATGTCTTGACTACTAAGGCTATTACAAGGCAGAGAGGGAAAGAGGACTATGGAATGACATATTACAATAACATTATTATGCATCTACATAATAGCCATCTCCCAATTGTGAGAGCCAACTATTACATTACTTATCTATAGAAAACTCCCCTTTTCCTTTTCTATAAGTCATATGGCACGAATAATTAACTCTTATTTTTTATTCAGATACTTTACCCTTACTTCTCAAAAAAATAAATAATAACATCTGTGAGTGAGGACAGTGGGAACAGGAAAAATTGAACAATATGGGATTACAGAAGCCTATTTAGTCTTACCCTTTAGTGTCTGTTGGCTTAAGAGACAACTGAGGAATGATAGAGGTCTGGTATGTCTTTCTTCTTCCCACCTCACCATGTCTTCGGGGTTGCTACCCACAGCAGGGCTATAATCTTGGTGGCAAACATAGGGGCCAACCCAGTCTTGCCCTCTATATTTTTTTTGTTTTACCTTACTTGTTGGTTCTTAAGGAAACTGTCTCAATACTCCTTATGGTTCCATGTGTACCTTCCCTCAACAGATGCTTGTAATTCTTATCTATTAAAATAGGATAATTACATCAATAAACTATACAGTTCAAACTCCTCACCCAAAGTGTTAGTTAAAACAATCTTTAAGCTGGCTGATGAAAGCTAGATTCTACTTTTGGACATCTTCAAGCTTCTTCGGTTATCTCTAGTCCATTCTTTGGGTTCTTGAACAGGGTTTTGAATTCTATTTACATGAGTCCACTTTCACTCTGCAGTTCACACAGACAACTCACGGGTTAGCAGTGCCTGAAAGGGACTTCCCCACTGAGGGGTTAAACTAAAGACAATGCACATAGCACTGCTTCATATGTTTCATTATTTGAACTTACTACTGCTGACACAAGGGAACTGTGCGGTCTAAGAAGTATTACAATCACAGAGAGGTTTCGTACTTGGCCTAGTATCTTGTTTTGATGGAAGCAGTTCCTAGGGAACGTTTGTTAGAACAGTAGTGAATTACAGCAATTATAGATACCTCTGTTTATAGGGATTTAACGGAAACTTAAGCATTATTAAATTTGATGGAAAACACTGTACATAACCTTATATAAACTTTTTGGCAAACTTCTATGAACAGGCATATTTTTTCTCTTTACAAGAATAGAGTGTACACAGAGAGCCAGGGGCTACCTCAGTTAGCAGAGCTAGGTAGTGACATATACACAAACACATATTTACACACCCATCTGCTTTTCCAGGTGGGACAGCAGTCGGGTGTACGGAACTGTGTATCTAGAGCTATGTCTCTGGGCCTGCCTAACTCGTGTATGTACACAGGAACATGTGCAGAGCTAGTATACATACACACAGGTACTTGCTCACTTGCACAGAGTTCTTGTGCACTGCAGTACCTGCTAGCAGCACACACTTGTGTACTCTTAATTGGTTACACCAGCATACATGTGTTACACAGACACTCACTTATGTAGTCTCTACTGATGCACACGTGTCTACAAGTATGACTTGTTTGCACATAGTGTTTTGAGCACACCAATGTGGGCAGTGTTATACATATTAATACACGTATGTCTCACACAGAGCTATGTTCACACTAGCAGAACCTGTGCTTACTCAAGCACAGAGCTGTGCACAGACCCACTCACACCTGAGAGTATGTGATTTAACACACATGCAAACAGCAGTGCACACATTGTGGGCATACTTCAGTGCATCTATGTGAATAGTGCTGTGCACACTAGTATACATTCACACTGTGCAAAGCAGGACATGCACACCTATATCTGGCACACTAGAAAAACACATGTGCACACAGAGTTGTACACACTGGTACACACGTGTTCAGCACCCTGTCAGAGCTCTCTTGGCTCTGACACCCCTGTGGGTCTCCCATGTCATGGCAAGGATGGGGACACAAGAGGGGAGCATGGGTGTGACATTGTGGTTTAGTTCAAAGAGCACTTTTTGTGCCCTTGGGGTGGGAGCAGACAGGCCCGTCATCTCAGACTGAAGGAGAGAAAGGCAACTGTGTCCAAACCTCCTGACACTTAACCCTCTTCTCCTCGGCAACTACAAGATGAAAAGCTTGACAAAGAAAAGCCCAGAGGTTTAGCAGCCCAGAGGAGGGCAAGAGAAGAGGGGAGAGTGTTGCAGCATGGCAGGGTGGTAGAAATGCTGCAACCTTGTTTGAAGTGTCTCCTTCAGAAGCCACTCAGAGCAAGGCCACCAGAACAGTCATTTCAAGTCCATGCACACACACACACCCCACAGATAGCTCAGCAGAGGAAAGACAAGAAGGGTTTTTGTATGATGGATTCCAGTGAAGGTTTATTCCAAAGCACGCCAAAGGGATCAGGGACAAAGACGAAACCATGTGATCTGCACAGACTTAAATATGGGGTCAAGGACCAATGACCTGAGGGCACAGGGCAGTGCAAAGGGCAGGGAAAAGGACAACAACCTGTAGGGGGGATGAGGGATGAATAATTGGGGTGGATAGTGTCAACTGGCCAATGGGGGAAGTAATCTAATGTAGATTGACAGTAGTGCTGCAGAGCACCATGGGCTAGGTCCTCTTTTTAGCCTAGGTGGGGAAAACTCTATGGTATATTCTTCCAAGGCAAGGCCCTGGGGATTTCCCTGAGGGGGAAGGATTCAGAGGTTTCCACAGGAGAGGATCTTCCCTTTCCCCCTGGAGACCCCTCCAATAGCAAACTACAGGTCCCCTCAGTAAGGCCCACCCTCTTAACTGGATAGAAGGAGAAGGAATGAAGACAAGTGAAGAAAGGAAGAGCTTACTCAGTTCTGCTCCTCTACCCTCCCTACAGCAGGGAGAGGGCATTGCTTAGAGACACTCAGGCATGTCTGTGCTCTCTGGTTATTCTGAAAAATGAGGAAGACAAGGTGGAGCAGCAGGGCAGAGCTTGGGTGTTCTAGCCAGCTCCCTGATTGTCCAGGAGAGACTAGCTGTTACTTGTTAATCTCAGTTACTAAAGCGGAAGTAACAGCTAAATATTGTAGTGTTCAAATATTCTGGTAGCTAAGCCTGTGTGCTCCTGTGTGGCTCTTGGCTGTCAGCCCACAACAGGACCAGTGCTCCCAGTACAGATGGGGTCTATTCAGAGCTCAGGAGATTGTGTGCTGCACTGAGGCAGATCATTGCGGCAGCCCTCAGGGGAGGGTCCCCCCTGCCTCAGCAAACAAAGAGACTTCTAGAAAAACAATTAGTAGATGTTGCCCAGGGAGGTTGTGGCTGCCTCATCCTTGCAATTGTTAAAGGTCAGGTTGGACAGGGCCTGGAGCACCCTGGGATAGAGGAAGGCATCCCTGCCCATGGCAGAGTGCCCTCATTTGTGAGATATTGCGCGAGGGTGTACGCGGCCCTAGGTCCGGCTAGCTGAAGGGGTGAAGTGGCCGACGCCCCTACGCATCAGAAGCCAGCCCCCCTTGGCGTCCTGGCCTCGGGCTGGGCTGGATTGCGGACTTGGGTTCGCGCTGGACGAGACGAGAGAGGAGGCAACCACTTGCTGGGGGTAAAACGTCGGTTTATTGAAGGGCCCACAGGCAGCAAAGGGCAACCAACAAGTGGAAAAACCCACAGCAAATGGCCCCGAACACGGGGGGGAGACAGAGTTTTACAGGGAAGGGGTGGAGAAGGGAGGGGAAACCCAGCTAACCAATCGGGGA